CAGGGTCCACGGACCATGGTCCCCTCCAAGGCAGGCGCTGAGCTGAGGGTCAGGTGTGGCCCACCTGATGCTGCACTGGTCTTGAGGTCTCCATCAAGACTCTTGTAGGATCCTTGGAGGATGTGCACCCTTCCTCACTGGCCTTAGGGTGAAGGGAGGAGGCGGAAGGCCGCAGGGTGCAAGGTGCAGGGAGGAGGGTCTGGGATACACGGCACAGGATGGAGGCTGCAGGCCACAGACTTTGCAGACCTGGATTTGCTCCAGTAGGGCCACCTGTGGCCCCGCCCTCTTGTCTGCTCCCGATGCTGTGCGGGTTGGGGGTCACAGAGCCACCTTCCTTCTGCCCCTCAGTGCTGTGTGCTCTGAGGCCCGTGTGCCCACCCTGTGCCCTTCCTGTCCTCCTGGCTTTGTGCAGGGGAGCCTGGGCCTGGGTCAGCTCCCAGCGTGGAGTGCCTCAGCGACGTGCTACCAGGTGTAGGCCAAGTGTGTTGGCCCTGGGGGCTCAGCACTGCCACAGCCCCTGGCATGTGTGTGGCCTGGGACCTGCACCAGCAGTGCTAATAAAAAAACGACAAAAACCACAGGCCACGTCTGTCCCTTTAATAACAGAGATTTCCAGCCACCACCTTGGTTTATCTTCCCTCTTACTATGACACTGTACATCTAAAGAGCTGTTTCAAAGGCTTCATCACACACTGCATAGTACGTGGGCCATGTGCTATGTGTGAGTGGCTTAAAGTATGGAAACATAGTCACCATGAATGTCGTTGTCACCTCACAGAGCTGTGAGAGACATTGTCCCAAGGCTGGGCTTAACACGTCCCTTAAAACTGTGTGACTATTTGCCTATAGCATAAGACTCACCTCCAAAACAGAACTCTTCAAGAGAGGCTCAGTGATACCAAAGCTCTTTTCAACGGCCTCCCCACGGTCTCATGAAAACAGCAGTTTCAGGTACATGGAAACAGAACCTGAGACCTGCAGAAATCATCCAGGTTTTAACAGTTAGCACTCTGAAGCGTTTGTTTTCCATATCTCTCAGCGGAATGGTGACACTTTGAAGGGAATTCCCAGCTGTTGGTCCTAGAAACATGGTGTGGTCTAAATAAACCCAACTGGTGCAAGCAGCCCCTTTAGGAAATGCGGTAAAAATTCTCCAGAATTCAACTAAGTGCTTTTCTAACTTCTTTTTAAAAATCCTCTCAGTTTAACATTGTGTGCGTACATTTACACTTGCCATAGGAAACCTGAATTCAATTAGCAAAACATGTAGAAAATATTCTGCAGACAACATTGTTTGGTGAATATTTATTTCTTTCCCATCTCATTTGAACCAAAATGAAATCGCTTGTGACGGTACAGACGAACGGTGCAGTGTGGAGTACAGACCCTTACTGTCATTGGTCTCAGCAGCTTGCCGCCAGACGCAGTAACGTCTCACGGCTGACAATCAGGGAAAAGAAATCGTTCGGACCCCATCGAGCAAGTATAAGGATAGCGCAGAGACAAAAATACCTTAGCATAGTGCTGTAGCTTAAAACTAAGCCATTTAAACACAAACAGAACACATTCAGTTTGCAATGAAAGCCAATATATAAAGCTATCTTCCCAAGGGGAAGAAATACCAGCTTAAATAACGCTGCTACAACCGAGCGTTTGTGACGAATCTGTTTATATCTGATTAAATGCAGCAATTGTTGGCCTGAAAAATGAGTACTTCTTTTAAAATGTAACTCAGCCTGGTGCTCTGCCATCAGGAAAATAAATGGACCCCTTATTATCACAAGTGTAGCATTTTCTCCCGGGATCTCAAGTATCTGCACAATACTAAATACTTTTCTTAATACATTTGACAAGTCAAATGACAATTCATTTTTAAGGACAACAGCTGCTGTGTTGGTTTCATGCTGAACATTAACACTCAAAATGGTTTACTGTACTGTACAAATTTTACAGATATTCATAATCACTGTGAAGATTTACAAAACCCTGCACACACCCTACAGCAAACATGAAACAGTCAAACACCCTCACGATTTAACTGTTTTTGGAGAGGAAAAGAAATCTCTAATTTATCCATGCAATTGCCCCTTCCTAAACAGGCAGTGAATTTCTGTTCACATTTTTCTTGGATTTGTGAGTGCTCACCTCTCTTTTCCTCCCTGTTTCTCCTAGTTGATAGGTTTGCACTGAAATATTCAGTAACTAGCACAAAAGGAAGAGGTGGCAACGTAGAATGTTAGGAAGAGAAGAGCCTGCGAGGTCTGGAAGGAATTGACTCCTCTGAAGCAATCTCGGTCTCTAGCTCCAGGGTGACCCTAGGCTGAGGGAGGAGGAAAACCTCGGCTTGTGTCAAGGTCTGTTCTACTCTCAAGGCCTCTCCGTGCACGGACAGTACCAGAGGGAGGCTGACAAAGGGGGGCTGCGGTGGGGTGGTAACCCTTTGGGACTCACATGGGAAGCTGTGAGTCTGTATCAGCGACCCGGCCCGCAGGTGTCTGCCTTTGCGCCCTTCCTAGTCAGAGGAGGAGGGTGCCCCTCCACTCATTTTAATTTCCTAAGTCTGGGCGCTTCTGAAAGGAGATCCTCAATTTGAATTCTAAGCCCAGACAAAGCAAAGACTATGGCAATATGTTTCTGATGCGGGTTTCAGACTCTCCAGAAAGACTAAGCTCCGCAGATGAGTTGGGTTGTGTTTTGAGAAGGCAGCAGTGGTTGAAGTAGTAGTGGCGGTGGTGGTGGTGCTGGTGGCGGGAGTGGCGGTGGTGGCGGGAGTGGCGGGAGTGGCGGTGGTGGTGGTGGTGGCGGTGGTGGTGGTGGAGGTGTGTGTGTGAGTGTGTTTGTATGTGCTGAGGGAAAGGGGGTGGGAGAGTGTGATGGGGCACTGGACATCTTTGGAAACCTCTCTCCTCTGTCCTCTTCATCCTCCCATTCTCTCAGCTGCCACCATAAATAGGCAGGAGGCAAGGAAGACGATGCATGAGTATACACACACCTGTGTGTAATTTAGTACTGTCCCTAACTTGGGACCTCCTTGTATCAAATTTCTTTCAAAGCTGCATTTTCATAATTGAGATAGAATTTTATTTTCCCAGAATCACCTCTAGAACTTTATGTAAAATGTTTACGTTCTGATTAATAGTCATTTTATTTTAGTTGAGTGTCTTACATGTGCATGTAGTTCCTAGAACCCGTCGCTAAAGACGAATATTTTATCAGACTTTAGTTTTAATTGCTTCTGTGTATTGAGATTAAAATGATTACTTATGCCATCTCTGCCTTATTTTTTATTAAAATTCGTAAGTAGATGGTCCTGTTTTTCTCATGTGTTAAAGGAAGAATACTGTCAACAAAGTGTGCTTTATTCATTTATTTGATCACTGTTTGAGTATTTCAGGTATAAACTTTGGTAAGGAGCCTGCGATCTGGGCTGATGGTGAAAGCTTTCTAAATTGGGCAGGCTTTTTAAAAAGACGACTTTCCGGACCAGCTCCTTCCAGGTACTCGTGGCGGGCAGCAGGGGCCTGCGGATCCCTGGGCGAAAGCAAGTGGGCTTCTTTGCCTCTGTCCCTTTCCCCTGTGTTTGTACCGGTCGATCTGAAATGTGGAAGGCTGTCTGAAAGAACTCACTAAATTTCCTCAGAAATATTTGTGCACCTACGAGTTTTAGAATGAGACTGTCAGCTAGTACCAAGTATCGACACTTCAGCCTCTTAGTTTTACAGCCCGTGACTCTGAAGGCTACGATAAATATATACATTGTCTTGTAAATAAATATGTATGATTGTTTCTATGTGTAATGCACTTGCTTTTGCTTTTTATTTAAATGCAGTGTCTTGAAAATTCATATTTTCGGAAGCTAACTGCTAAATACTTAAAACAGGATAAGGAAATTCCGCGAGAAATAAACATTCTCAAAAACAGAAACTGGCAAACGTGAAAATGCTCTGAATATCTCAGTAGTTAATTGAATTCATGAAACAATTCCCTCTGTGTTCATGTAAAACAGAAGAAACTTTGATATCTAAGAGCAAAATGTTCTAACATTTTCACAAATAAATTATATTTCCAGAATATCTTTAAGCGTTCAAGGTTGATTTTTTTTCCCAGAAAGCTGCGAAGTGTAGGTTTTCGTGGAGATTCAGCGTTGCGATACCATCGGGCCTTGGAGAGCAAGGAATTATCTACCGGCGCGTCACCTCCGTCTGAGAGCAGGACGACGCTGGCATCTGCGCTTTCTGGAGAGGGACCGGGTGTAGTATTCACTCACACTCTGCTTTCACTTCTTAACAGCTGCAGGAGAAAAAGAAACGTGGGCGCGGACACCGTCCCGGGCAGCAGAGGGCAGCAGGAGTCTTTCGGCGAGAGCGCACACCGCCGACGCTCGGGTCCGGACGCCCCGAAACCCTGGCGCGGAGCCGGTCTCCTCCCCGCGCGCGGCGGGGCGGGACGCGGGAG